ATAAGATGCATGGAGTTATTCCAATTTTTTTGTAGCTGCTGAGGTTTGATATGTTGCCAAGTATGTGGTCGATTTTTGAGAAGGTTCCATGTGGTGGTGAGAAGAAGGTATATTCTTTTTTATGTGGATGAAATGTTCTATAGATATCAGTTAATCCCAGTTGGGTCATTACTTCTATTAGCCCTTTTGCTTCTTTGTTGAGTTTCTGTCTGGTATTCCTGTCTAGTGGTGAGAGTGGTGTGTTGAAATCTCCCACTATAACTGTGTGGGGCTTTAGATGAGATTTAAGTTCTAATAATGTTTTTTTAACGAATGTGGATGCCTTTGTATTTGGGGCATAGATGTTCAGAATAGACACTTCCTCTTGGTGGGTTTCACCTGTGATGAGTATGTAATGACCTCCTTCATCTCTTTTGATTGATTTTATTTTAAAGTCTAGTTTGTTAGATATTAGGATTGCTACCCGGCTTGTTTCTTGGGTCCATTCGATTGAAAAATTTTTTCCCAACCTTTAATTCTCAGGTAATGTCTGTCTTTAAGGGTGAGGTGTGTTTCCTGTATGCAGCAGAAGGAAGGGTTCTGTCTTCGAATCCAATCTGCTAGTCTGTGTCTTTTTATGGGTGAGTTAAGGCCATTAACATTGAGGGATATTAATGACCAATGATTGCTCATCCTTCTTCGATTTGCGATGGTTGTTGTTGGTGGAATTATGTGTGGAATTTCACCCCTTTGTTCTTTTGGCTGTTGGTAGAGAGAGATTCTCTAATGCTTATGTTTTTCTGGTTGTAGTTAGCTTCCTTGGGTTGGAGTTTTCCTTCCAAAATTTTCTGTAGGGCTGGGTTAGTGGACACATATTGCTTGAATCTAGTTTTGTCATGGAATATCTTGTTTTCTCCGTCTATAGTGATTGAGGGCTTTGCCGGGTATAGTAGTCTGGGCTGGCATCTGTGATCTCTTAGTGTAGGTAGAATATCTATCCAGGACCTTCTGGCTTTCCGCGTTTCCATGGAGAAATCAGGTGTAATTCTGATAGGTCTGCCTTTATATGTTACTTGACCTTTTTCCTTAGCTGCTCTTAATATTCTTTCTTTATTCTGTATGTTTGGGGTCTTGATTATTATGTGGCGAGGGGATTTTTTTTTTGTGGTCCACTCTATTTGGTGTTCTGTAGGCTTCTTGTACCTTCATTGGCATGTCTTTCTTAAGGTTGGGAAAGTTTTCTTCTATGATTTTGTTGAATATGCCTTCTGCCCCTTTGAGGTGGATTTCTTCTCCTTCTTCTATACCTATTATTCTTAGGTTTGGTCTTTTCATGGTGTCCCATATTTCCTGGATGTTTTGTGTTAAGGATTTGTTGGATTTAAGGTTTTCTTTGGTTGATAAATCCATTTCTCCTAGCGTATCTTCAACACTTGAGATTCTCTCTTCCATCTCTTCTATTCTGTTGGTAATGCTTGTATTGGTAGTGCCTGTCTGTTTGTCCAGCTTTTCTATTTTCTGCCTTTCTTCAGATTGTGTTTTTTTTAATGACTCTATTTCAGTTTTCAACCCTTGCAGTGTTTGCATTGCTTCTTGCAATTTTCTGTTTATCTGTTCGTCCGTTTGTTGCCTTTTATGAATTTTTTGGTTTGTTCTTTCTTCCATTTCTTGCATTTTTTGGTTTGTTTTTTGTTCCATTTCTCGCATTTTGTGCTTTGTTTCTTCTTCCATTTCCTGCCTTTTTTGGTTTGTTTCTTCTTCCATTTTTTTCATTTTTTGCTTTGTTTTTTCTACCATTTCTTGCATTTTTTGCTTTGTTTCTTCTTCCATTTCCTGCCTTTTTTGGTATGATTCTTCTTCCAATTCTTGCATTTTTTGCTTTGTTTTTTCTTCCATTTCTTGCATTTTTTGCTTCATTTCTTCTTCCATTTTCTGCCTTTTTTGGTTTGTTTTTTCTTCCAATTCTTGCATTTTTGGTTTGTTTTTTCTTCCATTTCTTTGAGGGATTTTCCAATATCTTCTTTTAGGGCCTCTATCATTTTCATGAAAGTGCTTTTAAGGTCGTTCTCTTCTGCTTCATCCGCATTGGAATGTTGGGGTCTTGCTGGTGTGGAGTCTCTAGAATCTGGCGGTGTCATATTTGTTTTTCTGTTGCTGACTGTGTTTTTGTATTGTCTCTTTCCCATCTCTTCTTCTAGTGGGTGCAGAAAGAGCCCCTTACTGGTCTGGGGACCAGAGTTCCCTTTTGGTGGGTGCTAGCAAGTCCAATAATCTGGTGGTTCTTCTATTCCTTGTCCGAATACTGGTCCCATGGGTGGAGAAGAAGGACAGGAATCTGGGGCGCTTATCCTCTTACCTGGTCCCCTGGACCCTATGCTGGGTCCTGTTGTACTTGATCCAGCACAGCTACTCCCCTGGTCTCCCTGGGTCCTCTGGTTTCCTGGTCTCGTTGGTGGGAGAGAAGACCTGGGGTCTGGGTGCTTGGCTCCGGCCGGGATTGGGAGCTCTGTGCAGGTCCCAGGCGATCTGCAGTCACTGGAGCACAGGCCGGGAAGCCGGCCTGTTTACCTGATGCTGCTGGAAGAACCGCCGCTTCCCTGGACTCCCAGCCTCCTCTCCTTTCCTGGTCTCGTTGGTGTGAGCAAAGATCCGGAGTCTGGGGTGCTTGGCTCCTGCCGGGATTGGGAGCTCTGTGCAGGTCCCAGGCGATCTGCAGGCACTGGAGCACAGGCCGGGAAGCCGGCCTGTTTACCTGATGCTGCTGGAAGAACCGCTGCTTCCCTGGACTCCCAGCCTCCTCTCCTTTCCTGGTCTCGTTGGTGTGAGCAAAGATCCGGAGTCTGGGGTGCTTGGCTCCCGCCGGGATTGGGAGCTCTGTGCAGGTCCCAGGCGATCTGCAGGCACTCTCAGTTCATAGTTTTAAAAAGATAATTCTTTTTTTTTTTTTTTTTTTTGGTTTTTCGAGATAGGGTTCCTCTGTGGCTTTGTAGGCTGTCCTGGAAATAGCTCCTGTAGACCAGGCTGGTCTCGAACTCACAGAGATCTGCCTGCCTCTGCATCCCAAGTGCTGGGATTAAAGTTGTGTGCCACTACTTCCCGGCAAAAGATAATTCTTTTATCAAAGATTATTTTTTTCATTATGTCTGTGGATGTGTGCCTTTGTGTGTTTTTGTACTTGAGAGTGCAATGCCCTGAGAGGCCAGAAGAGGTTGTTAGGTTCCCTGGAGCTGCAGTTATAGGAGGTTGTACACTGTCTGATATGGATGCTGGGAACCAAGTTCCAGTCCTCTGCAAGAGCAGCAGATGCTCTTAACCTCCCAGTCATCTGCCCAGCTCCTTCTAGTCCAGACTTTATACAGAAGGACGAGAGGAAGAGCTCTCTGGGTCTTGACTAGTAGGTCTTTAGTTACACTAGCCATCGGGTAGAACTGATTACAGCCAATATTCCCTGAGCAGGTTGTCAAAGACACTCATAGTTTTTTCCTTGTGATTTTAGTACGGAGTGTAAACGTATGGAGAGAAGCTTCTGGGGAAGTTTTCATTTCTTAATTGTTGAAGCAGTCAACAGACTTTTTTTTAAATTGGAATCCTGCCTCACCAATTATGCTTTCAAGTCTGGTGACAGAAATAAAAAAATTGTAAAATCCTAATTAGCCTTTGAGTTTGTGCCAAGGCAGTTTGTGCCAGTAAAATAAACAATGACCTAAAATAAGTTTTAAATCTGTGTTGAGAGGAACAAAAGACAAACCACATTGTCCTCCATTCTGCAGGTGCTGGTTATGGAGATTCTGTAGTATTTCTGCTTTTCAACATATTAAGCAGACTAGATGAACTGGCCACAACTGTCCTTTAATTATTCTGTAAATGAATCAATGAGTGATGAAGCTGGCATCATGATTGATTAACCAATTGTGTAGAAATGTCTCTGTGTTACCACTTAACTTTGGTTAGCCTTGTCCATCAAAATTCATAGGCCCCTTCAGGTTGCCATCTGAAAATACCATGTAGGGCACACAGAATAAAACCACTGTTTATTATTTAAATCTAACTGGACTTCCTATATTTTTATCTGCTGAGTCTGGTCAGTCTTGACATAAATGATATTCCTAACCTTTGTTTCTACATTGCTAAGCCAATGCTATTAGATGCTTTGCCTGATAGTGAATGATGATGGGAGCTGGCAGACAGGAGGGGATGACAAGGCCTGTGCACCTTCCCTGCTGTGGATGCATCCTCACTGTCACCGTGCCCAGCATCCATCCCTTTCAACTGGGACTGACTTGCTCTACTTACAAGAACTGAAAGTGTAATTGCTGAGGCAGGATTCCAACAGTTCCTTAGAATGGGAGCCTAAGTCAAACACTTAACTGGCTGATTTGAGCTAAGCATTCTATCTGTTGAGAAAAAGTCTTTACTAAGAGGGCAAATGGAGCTGAGCCCCAGGGGTAGTTATTTTCACATTCTTGGGTGCTAAGTCCTCCTCAGGATAGCGGGTGATTTGAATATCTAAGCTTTATTAGTCCATTTACAGACGATACTATCATTGTCCTAATCCTACAGCTAGGAAACCTAGGCTCACTGAAGTGAAACACTGCCTGATACTGTGCATTAGGAAGAGAAAGAGAGGAGACCACAACTTTCTCTAGAATGGTCTGCCAGAGAGCCAGGGTTCTCAAATTGGCAATGGCATGGGAGTATTACGGTAGATGAATAGTGTTGCTAGCACGTAGCAGGTAGATGACAGAGATGGTGTTTGATCCCACAAAGTACATGACAGCTCCTACAGAGGAGCCAGCCCTAAATGCCAGAGCATTGAGTCTGGTATTTCCTGGCCCAGAGTGAAGACAAAACGGCAAGAGAAAAAAATGGAAATGAGCTCACGTTCGTATGTCAGTCCAGAGGTACTGAAGTATTGCTAGGCTTTGTTCAGAGAAACTTCTGGCTTTGGAGTGTGAGAGGAGGGCCTGTGAGAAAAGAGCACACCAAGGAAAAGGCTGGTCTGCTACCAGCTGATTGCTTACCACAGTAGAGGACCTCTTGAGGATGCGTTTCGCCTTCTCCAGTGTAAATTTCCAGGCCTCCTAAGGAAGCAAAATGAGATAACACCATAACTCCTATTTCACCTGTGAGTTATGTGTCTTTTCTAAAATTAGGATCAAAATCTACAAATATGTAATAAATGCACTGTTCTACACTAATGTTTGATAAAATAATTTACAGAAAGGCAACTTATTGCTACTAGGTGCCCTCATTAAGACTTTGTACTGTGTGTGCTGTGCTAATTACTTTGCAAATGTCACTTTATGCAGTCTTTGCCACAGCCCTGAGAGACATCAACACTGCATTAGATGAAGAAGGCAAATATACCAAAGTGAAGAAGTTGGCTCAGCTCAGTAAACAGGACTGGCAGATGCCATTCTGAACCTTTGCTCCCTGACAACCACGTGCACTGCAAATCAGTACTTTTAACAGTGTTCAATACCCCTAGCCACTGGGGAAATGCAAATTAAAACTACATTGATATCCTATCTCACTGGTGTCAAAACGACAGTCATTAAGAAAACAAGTGAAAAGCATTGGCAAGGATCTAGGCAAAAGGAATCCCTTCTACACTGCTGGTGGGATGGCAACAAGCTAGTCCTGCTATATTGGAGCTCTGTATAGAAATTTAGCAGAAAGATGAAAACAGGCCTTCCATATGGCTGAGCCTAGTCTGGGTACCTACCAAAGGACTCCAAGCCAATATATTACAGAGACACTTGAGCATCAACTACAGTGCTATCCATAGCAGCTAAGCTATACAAACAGTCTGTCTATCGGAGGGATGAATAAAGAATACACACACACACACACATGATTTGTACAGTCATAAAAACAGTAAAGTTATATTATTTGCAGGAAAATGGATGCAACTGGAGATAGTAAGTGTTCCTAGATTTTAAGGAGGCATATAAATCATGTATATATGAAATGATATAGAAGTTAGACTCCATAGGTGAACAAAGAAGACTATGGAAAGGAAGAAAGGGGTGTAGGGGAAAGGTACAGGAGCATAATAGGACAAATCTGTTGAATACACAATGCATACTTGTGTTAAAATGCCCTTAAGTCACATATTACTGTGTACAATTAATATATATATATATATATATATAATAATCAAAAGTTTTTAATTAAAAATGTACCACTATTATGTTAGGCAAGAAAAATGTGATTCCTGATTTCACATATACAGAAAAGCAAAGGAATATAGCACAGTAATTGTGGGGTAGCAGTCTCCAGTTTGTTCTTCTCAATGCATTCTAACTTTAAGAATGAGGACAACTCCATCAATACATGCTGATTATTGTTGTTGTCCTTATGTTTGTCATAACACTGCACCGAAGGCCCCCAACTCCACAGAGTGCTGTGCTGATTCTGTGCCCCTCCTAGGGGCCCAAGGGCAGGTTCATCAGGGTGCTGCTGCATGGAGGTGCCAGAGGAGATGGGATGAGGTGCAATAGGCATTGGGGATTGGGCTTCAGGGATAGGCACCAGCTTTTTCTAAGTCAGGAGGGAGTAAGAATAGACAGATGTTGATTCTAACTTGTCTACTTGCTCAGTACCCACTGATGCTGTAACAATAAACGACACACTTACTGAAAGTAAAACTAAGTATTTATTGTAGAAATTACTCACAAGATACCAAACAAGTAACCCAGATGAACTGAGTAGTTTTCCGCTGCCGAACTGGAAGCCGAAAGCCAGAAAAAGAGAGCAAGACTTCCGTTGTTCAGTCTTTTATAGCTTCCCCCTTAACGCCCCTAGTCATGCCCAAAAGTGGGCCTGGCTAGTGACGTAGTTCACCGCCTACGTCCGTATACGTCTTTACATCCGTCCGTATATATCTTTAGTCATGCCTAAAGTAAGTGTGATTAGCAGTGTGGTAAACCGCTCTTTTATTACCTCATCTGTATGCACCTCTACTAAGTCACATGGCTAATGGCGGCACACGGCTTCCTCCTACAACCCACATCAAAATTCTAGCTACATGGACCAAAAAGAAAGTCCACATCTGTTCTGAAAATTGGAAAATGGTAGGATCCAGAAAATGGACATTTGAATCATTTCCTTGACACATAGTTTGGGTGACACCAGATTGAAGCAAGAGAGAACAGCCTGGTTTTTTTAAATTTTATTTTTATTTAAATTAGAGACAAGCTTGTTTCACATGTCAATCTCAGCTCCCTCTCCCTCCCGTCTTCCCCCACCCCTCCAGCCCCCCAGTCCCCCACCCTGTCCCCACTCCACTCCCCAGGGAGGGTAAGGCCTTCCATGGGGGAGATCCAATGTCTGTCATATCATCCAGGGCAGGGTCTAGGCCCTCCCCCCATGGGTCCATGCTGAGAGAGCATCCCTCCATGTGGAATGGGCTCCCAAAGTTCATTTGTATTCCAGGGATAAGTACTGATCTACTACCCAAGGCCCCATAGATTGCCGAGGCCTCCTCACTGATATCCAAATTTAGAGGGTCTGAATCAGTCCCATGCTGGCCTCTCAGTCATCAGTCTGGGGTCCATGAGCTCCCCCTTGTTCAGGTCAGCTGTTTCTGTGGGTTTCACCAGCCCTGTCTTGACCCCTTTGCTCATCACTCCTCCCTCACTGCGACTGGATTCCAGGAGTTCAGTTCAGTGTTTAACTGTGGGTGTCTGCCACTGCTTCCTTCAGCCACTGGATGAAGATTCTAGGATGGCATATAAGGTAGTTGTCAATCTCGTTATTGGGGAAGGGCATTTAAGCCTCTCCACTATTGCTTAGATTTCCAGTTGGTGTCATCCTTGTAGATCTCTGGAAATCCCACTAGTGCCAGATCTCTCCTGACAGAAGGCTGATCTCCAAAATTTATAAAGAACTCAAGAAGTAAGTCTCCAAAAATACCAAAGGATCCAATTAAAAAGTGGGGGTATAGAACTAAATAGAGAATTCTCAATAGAGGAGCCTAAAATAGCTGATAGACACTTAAGAAAGTGCTCAACATCCTTAGCCATCAGGGAAATGCAAATCAAAACAACTCTGAGATACCATCTTACTCCTGTCAGAATGGCTAAAATAAAAACACCAAAGACAGTTTATGCTAGAGAGGATGCAGAGAAAGGGGAACACTCCTCTACTGCTGGGGGGAGTGCCAACTTGTGCAGCCACTTTGGAAATCAATATGGAGATTCCTCGGGAAAATGGGAATCAGTCTACCACAAGATCTAGAAATTCCACTGTTAGGCATATACCCAAAAGATGCACATTCATATAACAAAGACATCTTTTCAACTATGTTCATAGCAGCATTATTTGTAATAGCCAGAACTTGGTAGCAACCTAGGTGCCCCTCAACTGAAGAGTGGATAGAGAAAATGTGGTCCATTTACATAATGGCATACTACTCAATGGAAAACAAAAACAAAAACAAAAAATGGAATCTTGAAATTTGCAGGCAAATGGATGGCATAGAAGAAACTATCCTGAGTGAGGTAACCAAGTCACAAAAAGACAAACATGGTATGCACTCACTCATATATGGATTTTAGACATGGAGCAGGGGATTGCCAGCCTACAATCCCACCACCAGAGTCTGGGAAACAAGGAGGACCCAAAGAGATATGCATGGTACCCCAGAGAAGGGGACTGGGACAGGATCTCTTGAGCAGTTTGGGAGCATGGGGGAGGGAAGAGGGAGCTAGGAGGAAGAGAGAGGGAGAAGAGGAGGGGAGAGGAGGACATGGGGGAGCCAGAAGGTTGAGTGTGGCGGGAGGGGGATGCAGAATAGAGAGCAGGATGAGAGATACCAAAATACAGTGAGTCATAATAGCCTGGTTTTTTTTAACATGCTTATGGGGAATAAATGACAGGATCTAGGCTTGAAACCCCATAGGCTCTCTTACATTGTGGTGTACATAGAAGGTACTTGGTTCTAGCTGCAGTGCTATAGTGATCTGGAGGCAGTCCCTCTGATTAAATCTATTGGGCTGCTTCCCACTAGAAGATTTTCTACAAGCAACAAGATACTTGGTCTTACATTTGAGCATTCACTTGATTTTAGTGTTAGGTATGGTCAGATCTTTTCAGACCCTCATTACTTTCTTCAGTTGGTTATCACGTTTCCTGTTCCATTTATTTAGCATCCTTATGAGTAAATTGCTAAGGAAAGCATCCCTCAGACTCACAAAGCTATAAGCCTTTAGCCTGAGCATATGGTTCAAAGAACGATGAATATATATGGTCCCAAGGGTGACATGGCATGGGACACCAACAGTCTATGAAAGGGGTAAAGAGGAACCTTTGCTTCACAGTCAGGGCACATAATAACGTATGCTAAAACACATTTGTTTAGTATGATTTCCAAACTAGAACTGCCTCAAAGTCTTCAGACAAAAGGGTATTGAGATTATTGATTGATGTTATCAGTTGGATTGTATTTGACCTAAATTCCTATGTTCAAGACCTAATCTCTCTGTATCTCCAAACATGACCTTCTATGGAAACAGGATCATTAGAGATGAAATGGGTTAAGATGAGATAAAGCCATACTAGAATAGAACGTGCCCTAACCTCTGTATTACTAGTGTTCTTATAACTTGAACACATGAAAAGAAAATGACATATGCAAATAAAAGAGGTAAGATGGCATGAAGATACTAAGAGAATACCATCTATAAGGAATGTCAAAGATTGACAGGAACTTTCCAGAACAGAGGGACAAGAAACACAAGTCTCACTCTACTCAGGGGACTAATACTGCTGGCTGATACTTCGATCGTGGGCCTCCAGTGTTCAGAACTATAAGATACAAAATTCCTGATGTTTAAGCTGCTTGGTGTGCTATGGCAACCTCAGAATATGGTTAGAACTTCTCTCACTCTCCAGTGTGATGATAACCAAGCATTCTTGATCTTGACCTAAGCGGAATTTGGATAATAGAAGAGCAGGAGCTTAGGCTGAAAAACATCAGTTTCTTGGGCAAAAGGATGCCTTGTTGGGATTCTGACAAGCCACAGAAGAATGGAGGCAGAAGGGAAAGCAAATGGCATAGTCTGGAAGCTCCAGTGTA